GCCATGCATATATGCATACAAGGTTCTTGGTTGATTACTCCCCACGCACCCACCCTCCCCCGCCTTCCCTCCGAGATTCTGCACTCTGCTCCATGCTGAGGAAATGGGTTTTTTAATTCAACAAATATCACCTGGCTGCTGTCAGCTGCGTGCTGGGGGTGGCTGGCCTCCTGGAGCTCCTGTTCCAGCGGGGAGACGGACAGACAGCTCAGCGTCCTGCTGAGAGGCGCGCTGTGTGCATCTTCAGATTTCCCCGTGGACACACAAGTCGCTCGTTCAACAAGTGTGTATTTGGCGCCTTGAATGTGCCTCACCTTGTGCTGGTTGCTGCTGGGGATAGAGATGCCACAGGGAAAGGTCATGACAACCCAGAGCTGTCCCTCTCACGGACAGACAGGGATGTCGAAGTAGCTGTGCCCCTGCCCTAACCGCACCCACCTCCCCATGCCAGCTCTGCCGGGCGAGGTCAGAGCACTTTACACCCCTCACCCTGACTTCAGTGGCCCCACGTGGTCGGTTTCTCGAAGGCCCATTTCTGAGTTGGAGGCTCTCTGAGTGTTGGTCGCAGGGAAGTGCGCTCAGGGACCCTGGCTTGGAGGAGACCTATTTTGGGTCTTCATTCCTCTGAGTCTGTTGCCTCCTCATCTGTAAAGGATGGTTGTTGTAGCTTCTCTCTCTGTAGGGCTGCTGTGAAGGTTCAGCTGGGTGCCCCTTAGGTTTGGCCAGGTGGGGGGGGGGGCAAATGCTGGGGTTGGCCTGGGGGGACCCTGCCAAGGTGGTGACCAGTGTTCATTTCAGACTCTCAGAGCTCATGGGGATGTGGCCTCAGGGTGGCCAGATCCTCTGGGTTTGTTCAGAGAAGCAGGAAATCCAAGTCTTGACTGTCACGGGGGCTGGTTTTATAAATTAGGGAATAATTAAATATTTTAAAGACTGTGGAACAAGCGGAACACCCCCTGGGGCTGGCTGTGACCTTGGATCTGAACAGACCCCAGTTGTCAGAACAAGCTAAACTGAGGGCAGAAGAAGGGAGTCTTGCTCTTTATGGCTGGGTCTGGAAATGGTTCTACGAGTTCTTAAATCAACATGTTAGATATGAAATGTCCCTGAGTGGGATATGACAGTGTGTCTTAATGTTCCATAGCCTTTACTGGCCTCCGTAAACCGCCTTCCCCCAGCAGGGCACGGAGGCCTGGGGCGGGGAACAAGTCCTGTTCTGGAAGACCCCAACCCTGACCCCAAGTGAATATTTGCAGGCTGGTTGGCTCAGCTTCTGCCTCTTGGGGGATAATGAGATGGGGGTTGGGCCCTCATTGTGTCCTAACTCTGTGCCATAACTCTCTAGGCCAGTGGTTCTCAACCTCTGGCCCTTTAAATACAGTTCCTCATGTTGTGACCCAACCATAAAATTATTTTCGTTGCTACTTCATAACTGTAATGTTGCTACTGTTATGAATCGTAATGGAAATATCTGATACGCAGGATGGTCTTAGGCGACCCCTGTGAAAGGGTTAGATATGCTTTTAAAATTGCTTCAAAACAATTCTGGGAATACAGCACATTGTGTCTTACTTTTGGTAGACTTAGTAAAAGAAGGATTATTGAGGAAAACTTCATCAAAGAACACTTCAAATTTTAAACATATTCACAATCTTTTTTTTATTATTAATTTCAGAGAAGAAGAGAAAGGGAGAGAGAGATAGAAACATCAATGATGAGAGAGAATCATTGATGGGCCCTGCCCCACACTGGGGATGGAGCCCGCAACCTGGGCATGTGCCCAGACCGGGAATCAAACCGTGACCTCCTGGTTCATATGTGGCTGCTCAACCACTGAGCCATGCCAGCCGGGCTCTCCAGGCATTTTTAATTGAATCCTCAAAACCTGGTCAAGTAGATGCTATTTTTATCCCCATTTTACTGCTAAGGGAATTGAGAGTCAGTGAGGCAAAATGACTTGCCTAAGGCCATGCAGCTAGGAACAGGCTGAGCCAGGATTCAGGCTCAGAACCAGAGGTTCCCAACATTGTTGTGGACACCAAAGACTGCTTAAAAAAACCTTTTTTTAAATTGACTTTTAGGGAGAGGGGAAGGGAAAGGGGGAGAGAGAGAAACACCGATGTGAGAATAGAACACGGATAGGCTGCTTTCAGCAGACCCCCTGCGGGGGATTGAGCTGTAACCCAGGCATGTGCCCTGACTGGGAATCAAACCAGCAACCTTTCAGTGCCCGGGATGGCGCCCAACTAACTGAGCCACACCGGCCGGGGCTAAAGACTCTGTTTTACTTACGAAACTGGACACATGAGTGAGGCTCAGCAGAGGAAGGAGTGACTAAGAATGGTTTTGAGCTGGAGTTTATATTTACTGGACAAACACATATATGGCACCCAGCCTGTGCCAGACACAGTGCTAAGTGCTTTATATATATTTGCTCATGTAACCCTACTAACGAATTCACGATGAAGAGCTGGTTGGGGCCTCAGCAGTAGGGACAAGGGCTGTGTGTGGCTAATGAAAAGCATAGGGCTCTGAACCAGAACCTCAGCTCTGCCACTTGCTGTGGGTATGGCCTCGGGAAAATCACTCCACCTGCTCAGCCTCAGTTTCCTCATCTGTAAAATGGGTTGATAAAATAATTTGATACTTTGATACAGAGATCAAGTGAGGTCAGTGGATGTTTCTAGGGGGAGGAAGCAGAGAGCGGAGGTTATGTGCCCTCCCCTCTCTCTCTCTTTCTCTCTCTCTCTCTCTCTCTCTCTCTCCTTCCTTCCCTCTCTCCCCCTGCAGCCACTGGTCCGAGGGCCGTGCCACAGCTGTGCCGTGGTGTCCAGCTCCGGCCAGATGCTGGGCTCAGGCCTGGGCACCCAGATCGATGGTGCTGAGTGCGTGCTACGCATGAACCAGGCGCCCACCGTGGGCTTCGAGGCGGACGTGGGCCAGCGCAGCACCTTGCGCGTGATCTCGCACACGACCGTGCCGCTGCTGCTGCGGAACTACTCCCATTACTTCCAGCAGGCCCGCGACACGCTCTACGTGGTGTGGGGCCAGGGGCGGAACATGGACCGCACGCTGGGCGGCCGCACCTACCGCACGCTGCTGCAGCTCACCAAGATGTACCCGGGCCTGCAGGTGTACACCTTCACCGAGCGCATGATGGCCTACTGCGACCAGGTCTTCCAGAACGAGACGGGCAAGAACCGGTGAGCTGGGCCTGCCTGCTGGGGCCTCCCTGGTGGCCGGGGTCAGCAGTGACGGAGGCAGAAGTGGCTCTGCCCTCTCAGGGGATCAGAGAGACTGTCATTCATCAGATTATCCATAGCTCGAGGCGGTGGAGAGGGGCACTGACCAGCATGGGGCAGTCAGGGAGCTCTTCCCTCCACCCCGGCCACCTCCTCCACACATCTGTTCCTCCCAACCCCCCACCCCACCCCCCCAGCTCAGGAAATACAGCTGCAGCGCCCAGGTTTCCACCCAACTCCCCTCATTCCATCACCCGCCACACACAATGGGGTCTTGAATCTCTCACAGGTGCCACCGTCCCCCCCGCCCCCGACGCCCTTGCAGCATCTCCTCGTTGGTGTTGCTGAATCCTACAGTGTGCGCTCCAGCCACCCCAGCGAATTCACCCCATGAGTCACCTGCCCTCTACCTCACAGCAGCTTCGATTCCCATGGAGAATAAAGTCCAGACTCCACCTTCTCTCCTCCCCTGGCCTACAAGCTTTGTATGATTTGGCCGCTGCCTGTCCTGTTCCAGCCATACTGGCCGTCTGCGCTTCCTCACATATCCACCCTGGTTCTCGCCTTCATGCCTTTGCATATGTCGTTCCTTCTGCCTAGAATGTTCTTCCCCCAAATCTCCCATGACTAACCCCTTCCTGCCATTTAGGCCTGTGTGGAATGTCACCTCCTCAGAGAAGCCCTCCCTGATCACCCCATCTGATGATACCTCCCACCTGATACTCTTTATTCCTTTGTTGCCTTGTCTTCTCAGCTGTTCTCTCCCAGCTGCCTCCTCCTTTGAGAGGAGGGTATGGCAGAGTCCAGTTTGAGCGAATGAACCACCTCATAATGCCTCTTAGAGGTGGAGGTGAGGGGCCCTCAGATGGGAGAGAAACCAGTGCTGGTGTCTGAGTGAGTGAAGGTCTTGTTCCGAGTTCGGTGAACTAGTAAAGGCATGGGAGTGCTCCTGGGCTGACAGTGTTCCCTCCCCATAGCCACCTATAATTATCCCCATTTCACAGATGGGTCACTGAGGCTCAGAGAGGTTCATGAGCAAATCAGACACTCCAGAGCAGGTACAGGATTTGAATCAAAGACCATCTGACTCCAGGCCACCCCCTTTCCCACTTTCAACCACTGCTCTGCTGCCTCCTGCTCTCTCCCCAAGCTTCGTCCCTTAGATCCAGAGAGGATGTGGCCAGGGCCCCCTTCCATCTTCCAAAGGTTTGCTCACGCCCTGCGTGGGTGGTGGGGGTTGAACAGATCTGGGTTTGTGTCGAGCTCTGCCTTTTGCCTGCTGCAGACCTCGGGCCGGCTCTGTCCCCTCCCCGGCCTCCCCCAGGACCCCTCTGTGGGGGTCAAGGTGGGTGGCCTTCAGCTGGGAGGGTAGCCAGGGCTGTGCCTTGAGAGAGCCGAGGCGAGGGCCTCCGCCAGCCCCTTGTTCTGACTGTGTTTTCCCTGCCAGGAGGCAGTCGGGCTCCTTCCTCAGCACCGGCTGGTTCACCATGATCCTTGCCCTGGAGCTATGCGAGGAGATTGCGGTCTATGGGATGGTCAGCGACAGCTACTGCAGGTCAGGCCGGCCAGGCCGGGGCAGGAGGGGCGCTGGGGAGGCCGGGAGGACCGTGGGCCTCGCGCTGGAGGACCTGGGAGCTGTGGGGCGCAGGGTGTGTGGGCTTCCGGGTGGGTGGTGGAGGCACGGACATCCCTGGAGCTGGTGCCCAGGGGGAAGGGGCTCGGCTCTGGGACTGGCTCGATGCCAATCTCCACTCTGCCCGTGTGGCCTTAGGCCAGACACGCCACCTCCTAGCACCTCCATTCCCTTATTGTGAGAGAGAAAACAATCACACCTTCTTCAGAAGGTGATGCAAACATTTACAGAGAGAATAACTTATAGGAGTACTTATTGCAACATTGGGGCCGAGTACATGTACGTGACATATTACGTCCGAGTTTTTACTTTAGATATCATTCTGTTTCAGTACTATTGTGACTAATAAGTCCAGGAAAGGTCCATGCTTTCACCCTCTCTTCTCTTTGGAACTTATTTGTTGAGCACGTGGGTGAGTTGGCAGGAGCCTGTGTGCCCTCTGCGGAGGCACCTGGGCAGAACACCTACGGGCATGATGCCAACGAGTAGGTGGGTGGGTGCCACAGGGCATGGGGTTCCTTACCAGGAGCCTAGCACCAGCAAGGCACTTCGTAGTCGTCAACTCTTTTAAAAATATGTTTTTATTGATTTAATTTTATTATTATTTTCAAATATATTTCAGAGAGGAAGGGAGAGGGAGAGAGAGAGAGATAGAAACATTAATGATGAGAGAGAATCATGGATCAGCTGCCTCCTGCACACCCCACACTGGGGACTGAGCCCACAGCCGGGCATATGCCCTGACTGGGAATTGAACCGCAACCTCCTGGTACATACGTTGATGCTAAACCACTGAGCCACGCCAGCTGGGCTGTAGGCTTCATCTTTTTGACCTGTGGACTCAGCATGCAAGGTGGATATCACCGTTCCCATTTTACAGATGGCTTATGGAGGCTTATAGGGTGTGCCTCTGCCCTCTAGCCAACCAGCTTGCAAGAGGCGGAGCTGGGGATCAAACGCTGGCCTTTGGGATGCATAAGCTGCCCTGCTCCTCCTCCGTCTGTCCCGGCCTCCCCCGGGACAGGAATGGGACCCCGGGAGCCTGGAGTACCTGGTGAGGGTGGCCGAGGTCAGTGCGGGGTCTGGCGGGAGGCTGGAGAGCCCTGGTGCCCACACCTGTCCCTGTTCCCCACCCACAGGGAGAAGAGCCACCCCTCAGTGCCTTACCACTACTTCGAGAAGGGCCGGCTAGACGAGTGTCAGATGTACCTGGCACACGAGCAGGCGCCCCGCAGCGCCCACCGCTTCATCACCGAGAAGGCCGTGTTCTCCCGCTGGGCCAAGAAGAGGCCCATCGTGTTCGCCCACCCGTCCTGGCGGACCCAGTAGCGCCGCTGCCCAGCCGGCCGCACCGCCTGTGCCAGGCCTCTGTTCCATTCACTCAACCAAAACCTTTAATTTATGGATCCTGCCTCTGCCACATGCCGGGTGGACCTACGGTTCCTTCCTGCCCTGCCGTGGGGACACCTGGAGCCCCCTCGGGCCTCCAGACTTGAAGGGGAGAAGAGGGGGCCATGGTGACCTGTGTACACTCCTCCCACCCCCACTCCCTGAATAAGCTGAACCTTTTTTTATGTTTAATATATTTTTATTGATTTCAGAGAGGAAGGGAGAGGGAGAGAGAGAGAAAGAAACATCAATGATGAGAGAGAATCATTGATCAGCTGCCTCCTGCACGCCCCACACTGGGGATCGAGCCCGAAACCTGGGCATAACCATGACCTCCTGGTTCATAGGTCGACACTCAACCCCTGAGCCACGCCGGCCGGGAAATAATCTGAATCTTAACTTTGGGGTTCATCCCACCTCAGTGTCTGTCCAGTGGCCTTTGCTCCCAGGGCTGATGGTCCCCCACTCACCAGCTTCCTGACCTTCAACCTTGTACCAGCCCGGGCCCTTCCTCTCTACACTCCCCCTCCACCACCTTTGGTGCCACACTTCCCAAGCTGGTTGCCCCGGTCAGGGCAGCCCAGAGCTTGGTGTTTGTTGGGTGAAGGGGCCTTGGAACTGTGACTTGCCAGGGCCACCTCGAGTGTACGGGTAAACGTGTTTTCTGGACCCCTGTCTGCAGTGTGGTTATGTGTCTGGGGGTAAGAAGTGGGGCTCCTCGCCCGGCCACAATCCCATAACCTGTGGACCGGAGGGCAGGCCGGTCCTGGGCCCCTCCCCAAACCCACATCTGGCTGGGCTTCTGGCCGTTTAATCTGCCTGCGAGTTGCTTCCCCAAGAGCCCGCCCCTTCCCCACCAGGTCAGAGAGGCTGGCCCGTGGCTGCGCTGGCCTGTCCCGACTCAGAGGCTTCCCTGGGACGCCCGCCTGCACCCAGTGGGCAGAGGGTGGACAGTCGGGCCTGGAAGGAAACGACTCAGGGTGGGAAGGAAATTCCTCTACCCCACGCCACGCCCCTGGTCCAGGGTCACATTCCAAGGACGTGGCCAGTTAAATTCCCTATTAACTGGGGTTGGTTACATTGCAAGAAAGGGGGGGGGGGGGGGGGGGGGGCAGGCCTGACGCTTGCCTTCTCTGAGCTTCACTCCCCTCACCTGGGATGTGGCAAGAGCCTGCCCACCAGCAAACAGCTAGCAAGGGCGTGCAGCCACCGGGCAGAGGGCCCCTGGGAGCCCCCTTCACAGAGCAGGTGAAGCCAGGATGGAGCCCCGGGTCTGAGAGCTGAGCCCGACGTCTGGGCCCTGAACCAAGGGGCTGGAAGGAGCCACAGGGCTTCACACCCCTCCCTCCCTCCTTCCTTCATCGGAGACCAGGAGACTGGCTGATGGAGGACCAGCTGGGATGGAGCCCGGGGCTTCAGCTTCAGTTCCAGGAGTCGCCGCCTCATGGGGGTGGGACCCGGAGGGCCCTACGCTGGTTTAGCTGCTGATGCCGACCTGAAGTTCCACTGAGCTGTGTGTGTTTTTAACAAGGAGCGGCATGTTTTCGTTTTGTACTGGGCCCCACACATTCTGCAGCTGGTTGTGCGAGGGAGTGTGGGTGACCTTCTCAAGAGAGGCTGCAGGCCTGGCATCCGGCCCTTCGTGCCTGCCTCCCCCTGCCCGGTGCCCGGCAGGCCCAGAAGGCCCTGCAAGCAGGGGAGGAGGGCGGAGGGCAGAGAGCCCTGAGCTGGGGGAGAGGAGGCTCTGTGGTGGGAGGGGCAGGCTGGCAGCTGGACCACAGCTGCTGGGCTGGCAGCGGTGGGGTCTGGGCAGGTGTCGGGCAGCAGGAAGGGGGGTGTGGCCTGGCAGGCAGGGGGCTGGTGGAGGAACTGGGCGCAGAGGGAGGCCTCTGGAGTCAGACCTACCTCATTCTGGCACCGCTTCCCGCCGTGGGATCCTGGCGGATTAGTGCCTCTTTCTGGGCCTGAGAGCTGAGCCCAACGTACAAAAGCCGTCCTTCCCTCACAGTATGAATTCAGGGAGGTGGCTGTCCCAGGGCTGACACTTGATAGGTGGGGGTCACCTTGCTCACCCATCGTCCTTGGCGGTGACAGATGGGTGTGAGGACCCCCACGGCCATCAATCCCCCTGCTCACAGCCTCGACCTTGGGCTCCAGGGCCCAGGGCCGCTGGTCCTGATGGACTCAAACTGACGCCCCGCCCAGGCGGTCGCCTCCTCCCACTCCCTCCCCTGGAATACACTGGCTTCACCCTCGGGTGCAGGGACAGAGGTGCCTCTGTCCTGGCCCTGCCCCCAGGCGGGTGTTTACTGCTGGGTTGGTCCAAGTAACATGTATTTCTGGGCTTTGTGACCTGGCAGGAGCCACCCCAGCTACTTCCTCCAGGAACACTTCTTCCTGGTGGCTCCTGGCCGGCTCGTGGCCGCCAGCCTGCAGAGGGCTCGGGGGGACCCGCTTCTCTCCACTGCAGCTCCTGCAGCTTCCGGGGGTGAGTTGGGGCAGGAGCCTCCCAGCTCTGAGGAGTGTGGTGGGAGCACCCTGGTGTGCAGCCCCTCTTCGGGCCTCTGTCCACATCCTGGCTCCTTTGTCCCCTTAGCAGGCCAGCTGGGACCTCTACTTCCTCCTCCTGGGGCCAGAGGGGAAGCCAGGTGAGCCTCACAGCCTGGAGGTGTCCTAAGGAGCCTCTGTCCAGGTAGGAACGTGGGGCCAGGCCAGGAACTCTCACCAAACCTCTCGCCAGGAGAGGAAAGGGACTTGGTTCTGGCAGGTTCTGGTCCGCACCCAGGTCCAGGGCACCTGGGCCAGTCTGCCGGCTCCCATCTCTGCCCCCGAAGAACCAGGCACCGCCCAGGGCTTGGGAACAAGAGCTGTGGAGCAGCTGCTGTGTGCAGGCCCTCGCCCAGCGGTTCTCTCGCCTCTTTGGAGGGAGAGGCTGCAGTCCCCGGCCTCTGGGCGTCGGGTGGTCTGGGTCCATGGCCATCCTTTCCTTATTCTTCGGGGCACAAGCAGAGGGCTGTCTGGAGGTTCCGTGTATGTACAGGCATTGATGCAGGACTTAAAAGCTTAAATTCCCAGTAAAGCAAGAATAGAACCATTTCCTCAAACCTCAACCTACTTGATTTTAGTAAGTAAGTTAGCAACCTGACGAGAGGGGCTCCTCCCCTGGCTCCGCCCAGAACCCAGTGGGGAGTTTGGGGCAAGTCCTGTTCCTTCGATGGGTCCTGGTTTCCGTCTCTGTAAAGTGAGAGCCAGGGTGGCAGCTGAGGTCTCTGAGGACTCTTTCCGGGACCCCGTGGTAGGGGAAAATCCTAACTGCACAGATTGCTGAGGGCAAGAAGGGAGGTCACGCCTGGGATCCCCGCCCTGGGGCAGGAAGGGCGGAAACAGAGGCCATGGGGAGCGGCTCAGGGGTGGGGGCACCGCAGGAGTGACCACAGCCACCCATCCAAGAAGTCCCCGCCATGGGCGAGGGCAGGCCTGGGGCTGTAGAGCGGAACGGCTTGTGGTTAGTCACCCCCGGGCCCCGTGCACACTCAGCCTCGCTTCTCCCTAGAGTGGTGGTACCGGCAGCTTGAAGGATTCAGGAGTTTGTCGCAAAGTGCTGTCACAGGAGAAAGCACGTGACGCGTGGGAGCTGATGTTTTCCGATCCTCGTCGTTACTGAAGTGGTTGTTATTGTTCTTGGGCTGCCGGGCGAACTCAAAAAGAGTTTGGAGGCTTTGGCTAGAAATAAGTGGTAAAAATTGGTTATTCAAGAGTCTTGGGGCTTGCAAACTGGGAAGACAGTTAGGCCATAGCCAGAGTGTTCCGAGGAAGGAAGGAAAGCTGAGGGTCCTTCAGTAACAAGTCCACTCCGGAGAGGAAGCACTCCTGCATCAGCGCTGGCAGGTGCCAGGTGTGATCTGTGACTGGCGCTCACCATGCTGGTCTCGGTCCATGGCCATCCTTTCCTTACCCTTCGGGGCACAAGCAGAGGGCTGTCTGGAGGTTCCGTGTATGTACAAGGCATTGATGCAGAACTTAAACGCTTACATTCCCAGTAAAAGCAAGAATAGAATCATTTCCTCATACCTCAACCTACTTGATTTCAGTAATTTAGCAGCCTGACTAGAGTGGCTCCATTTATTTCTTCACTCTATTCCTCAAGGCCCGGGAAAGGTGAGCCAGCCCCCACCACAGAGCCTCTAGGCATGAGTCTGGGCCCCGAGACATGGCAGGCCTGAGGGGGGAGCTCCAGGTCCGGATTTGGTCCAGGAGCTGGGCTGCTGCACCCTCATTTCCAGAGGCCATTGGCCTGGGTCAGGGAGAAGGGCTGACCACAGGATGCCCCACCCTAGCCAGCCTCCAGCCTGCCGGGTGACCTCTGGCAAGGGGCTCCCCGCTTTTCTGAGCCCCAGCAGTCAGTTCATCAGGCTTCCTGCCTGCCGGCCCTGGCCCCTGCTCTGTGGTTTTCCATGCCGGCAGGCAGCCAAGCAGGGCCAGGGATGGGCTGAGGCTCAGGAAGCAGTTGGAAGTGACACCAGAGGGGCAGGAAGCCTTGAACCCTTGGCCTTCCCCTCTTGTGCCCACTGCCTAGTGGCCATGTCTCCAGAGCCTGGACGCTGGACCTTGCCCCTCCCCCTTTTGTTTTAATTAAAAACAAAGTGATATTAACTCATCAACTTAGTCCAATGCAAACGACCTGGAAGTTTATAAAGCAGAGAGTGAAGGTAGCACCCACCGGTCCCACCCCGAATCCACTCCCCAGGGGAAACTACGGCCAGTAGTCCCCCTTAGATTCTTCCAGATAGCTTCTGTGTGCATTTACAAGCATATACACATCTACGGATGTGTGGTTTTTTTTAAAAAAAGGAATCATACTATATATGCAGTTTATTTTTTAATATATTTTTATTGATTTCAGAGAAGAAAGGAGAGGGAGAGATAGAAATATCAATGATGAGAGAGAATCATTGATTGGCTGCCTCCTGCAGGCTCCCAACTGGGAATGGAGCCGGCAAGCTGGGCATGTGCCCTGACTGGGAATCGAACCGTGACCTCCTGGTTCATAGGTTGATGCTCAACCCCTGAGCTACGCTGGCTGGGATGCAGTTTATTTTTTATAAATTAAAAAATAAGTTTTCAGTATAAGCATTGTGTAACCATTATCTTAAAATTTTTGGAAAATATAGTTAAGCCAAAAGAGAGAGAGAGAAAAAAGCAGCTCCTAATCTCACCATTTCAGAAATAACCACTATTAACACCTTCATCACTGTGATAGGCAAAAGGTATTTCCTTATTTTCATTTCTCTTATCTTTCTTTTAAAACACGGCGGTACACAATGACAGCATTTATCATACCTGTAAGTTATAAAACATAGTATAATGAACCTCTCGAACCCATGTCCCACTTAAAGACCAGACCTTTATAGAAGTCCACACCCCAGTGTCTCCTCCCCTCTCCCACATCTCTGCCTCCCCAGCAGACAACTGTGTTCTTAACTTTTGCTTTGAAAACGTTAATCACTTTATAGGCAAAAGCTCTCCTGTCCCTGGCTATGAGAGGTGGCCTGCTGCCGGCTATACGCTCAAACAATATATCATGTAGCTCATTTGTCTTCGGAGACGTGTCTTTTTCATTCCTTATGTCTCTCAGATTCATCCTCGTAATCGTAGCTCATTCATTTCCCCCTGCTATTTAATATTCCACACCGTGAAAGTACCGTCACGTAGGAAAATTCCATTCTGCTGCTGACAGATATATGGGCTGTTTCCAGTTTAGTATCATTTCAAGCAATGCTGCTAATGAACTTTGTTGTTGACATAGGCAAGAATTTCTCCAGGGCATATTTGTATACCTTTGTTTTCCAAAGGGGATTATAGAGATGCAGTTCTTTGGCTTGCTTTCTTCACGTAAACATCCTCTGTGCATCCTGGCCAACTCTTGTCAGTACCTATTGATCCACATCTCCACATCACGCAGGCCTGCCCTCTATCCCATAGGCCCCTATCATGGCTCCTGGCTGTTTTTCACTGTCACGTAAAATGATAAAATGATAGCGGAGCGTCATAAGAAGTCATCACATTTTTAATCCTGACAACACCCTCCGAGGGGGTGGTTCTCCCTGTACCCCAGCGGCAGGCCGGGGAAGGGGGAGTGAAGTGCCAAGGCCACGCAGAGACGGGGACAGAGCTGGACTGGAACCCAAGGTGGGCCCTGAGCTCACTCAGGGTGATCACGGGGTGCAGGCCTCCCGAGGCCCTGGGTAAGCGAGCTCAGGGGAAACGCAGCTGGTCCCAAGCGCAGCGTGCGCTGGGACTCAGTTTCCCCGTTTCGGTCGTGGTGACAATAAAGCGAGATCGAAGTGGGCATGTCCCGCCCCAAGGCGGGGAGGCTATTTTTATGGCCACTACGCGGCCGGGAGGGGAAAGCGAGGCC